GAGAGAGAGAGAGAGAGAGAGAGAGAGAGAGAGAGAGAGAGAAAGAGAGAGAGAAGCGAGCGAGAGAAGTGGCGAATCGAAAAGCAACGGAAGCTGATTTCCGGCGTAGTCCGCTGGGTGTGTGTTTTGTGCGTTGTGTCGCATAACGCATAACGCAAAATTCATATGTTTGGGCGAGTAATAGACGGTATTAGACGCGGCGCACGTTTTTGTTTTTTTGACGAGGCAGTGGGTTCTATTTTATTTTTTTGTTTTTCCCTTTCTTCATGAGGCAGTGGATTGTGTTGACAGTGCATGGACTGATTCGACGGGCAAATTTTTTTTTCTCTCGATTTCGATGACATTGCGTGAATATCATCCTTGGGCAGGGGCCATTCCATTTAAATGATGTCCCGAAGGACTTGTAAAAGGGCGTCGCTCCACTGCAGTAACTCTCGACATGCAGAAAAGTAATAAAAAATATGCCAATGTATCTTTACAGGTTTTGCCGGCGGATTCAGTCTCATTTTTGCACATTTCGATTTTGCACATTTCGATTTTGCATGGAATGATTGATTTACCGCCTCCCTTTTGTCCCAAATGGCCCAAATGTGCGAGCCTCTTCCCCCGAATACAACGCACGGTCATTATATCTGTATCTAGACTGAAAGATACCCCAAATTCAGCTATAATGACCGTACGACCGTACATGGGTATTCGCGGGAAGAATGTAGGTAGGTTTGCCCTCTGATTGGTCACTCAGGGAAGACGGTACCAACTGTTATCGCTTTCAGCGACAATGTGATGGGTATTGCCGCTCTGGAGTTCGGTGAGAGGGAATGGGGTCATGTTAGACCACTCTGCATTTTACGTGCACTTGGACGCCTTTCTGGACCATGTGCATTCGGAGGAGTCCAACGTTTTTAAACGTATCGGGACGATAAGCCCCCCCCAGATACATATAGCCTGTGGTTGAGGCACAACATCGTGTGCGTCTATAGGCGTTATTCCTACGGGTACTACCCGCACCTTCTACGGAGCACAACGAACCCGCATTCTGGCTGTACCGGACCTGAAATCTAGCTTGTATACATTCATGATCAGGCCCCAAGCACAACGAGCCCTCATCCTGGCTGTACCGGACCTGAAATCTAGCTTGTATGCATTCATTATCAGGGTGCGTTATTCTTGTCGGAAATCAGGTAATTTCGGCGATCTTGGCGCTCCGGTCGCACACACCTTTTTATTTCTTCCTTTCCCTTTCTCTTCCTTCTTCCTTCTTCCTTCCTTTTCTTTTTATTTTTTCTTTAATTAGTTTGGACCATTTCATGATGTACTATGCGTGTCATCCATCCTTTGCGCAGCGCCCATGCTACTCAATCTTCTTTGCATCCATACAGATTCCGATTGTATGGATG